ACATACACTAAATTTCACAACTTAATTTGCAGAAGCCACTTAATGGCTTTTATTCAGACTAAATATTCCTCGCACCATGACATAAAGAACCCTCACATAATACACAAACATATATAAAAAATATATTTATATAATCACATAATAATTTTCTTCAATATGGCCAGAACATGAAAGCCTGATCATCTACTGGAAATCCATAGTCATTTGAACCATCTCCAGGCTTCAGAAAATTGTAAGGTTCAACCTCCCCGCCGGCGTGGGAGACGTCGGACAGGTCCGGCTCGAAAACGTTGGAGGAAACCGCCGGTTCGAAGAGCTGGGAGCGGCCGACCTCGTCGGCGCAATGGGGGCTGTCCGAGTCGATGACGACGCTGTTCGTTGAGCTCAGATCCTCTTGCTTGAATCGTAAAACTGGCGATACGCCGGCATTCATAATCGCCGCCTTGGACGATGAATCAGACTCTGGTTTTGGCGACGGAGGAGAGGATTCTTCGAGCTTGAGGAAAGCTTCGGTGTTCTCCTTGAGGAGAAGCTTGTTTGTAAGATGAGCTGCCTATGAGAGTGAAGTTGAAGAGGCTCATTATTGCATTCATAACCTTCAATTTGCATGTAATGTTACATTGGAAACAAATTGAGTTGATAATAAATAGGAAGATTAATACCACTTTACCCATATATTTACATATAAACTTTGATATTTATATTAAAACCAGATGAATTTTACTTTTGAAGGGTTGGTGATTTGCGTGAGATGAAAAATATTTACATGCATACCACACAATTGTTATCTATTTGCATATCTAACACATTAACTTTCATATTTACATACATACTACAATTTTTTGCATCACACCAAAATTATAATTTTTCTTAACTTTTTAAAAGCAGAACACTGTCTTTTTTTGCTCAAGTTGTTCATGCCAAAATGTCATAAATGTAATTTCGTTGGACTCTACTTTAAATTTTATTATTATTACTATTATTATTTAAATTTTGATTGCATATTCACCGTAGATCACCCTGATCTACGATGTAGATCGGATAACGCATGCATCCGTATGCAATAATTTTTCGATGGTTGTGATGAAAAAAAAATGTTCAAGCCATATATTTAAAGTTTAGGCGTTTAACATGTTATATTAAATATTTTGGGAGGTTGATGTACAAAAATCACAAAAATATTAGCTAATGAAGTTAGTATACCTCTGATTGGAGAATCTCCTTCTCCTTGAGGAGATTCTCATAGTCAGCTTTGAGAGAATTGTAGTTGGCTTTCAGAGACTCATAGTCTTTCTCCAACTGTTTGGTTTTCCACCGTGCGCGGCGGTTCTGAAACCATATCGCCACCTGCCGGGGCTGCAGGCCAAGCTCCTTTGAGAGCTGGATTTTTCGCTCCGGATCGAGCTTGTTGTCGAGCTCAAAGAATCTCTCTAAAAATTTGACCTGATCGACGGCGAGCCGCCTTTTCTTCTCCGGCTGATGAAGATACTCTTCAGCGTCTTCATCACCAACCTCTTCCGCGTCGAGCCGACGGCAGACATCTTCAAAATTCAGCATGGATGTTGAAGCTGAAGCAAAGGAGAAACTTTTAGGTGCTGTCTGGCAATATATGAGAATTACTAGGATTTAGTAAATCCCACAAATCTCTGAATGGATTAAAACTGAAAAACTGTCTAGCAACGGATTTAATAAATTCTGTAAATCCAGTGAAATTGTTTGTCAGTAGCTGCGCTTAAATCCAAAGCGCGCAAAATTAAATCCACGGATTCATATATATGATTTACTAAAACCCAGATTTAAGATTGAAATCTGGAAAATCCGAGTTTACTGCCTAAATACTGCTCTAAATCAATTACCAGACAGCCCCTTCGGCCGAAATGGAACCATAAAAGGTTAAATTTTTATTTTAATCGGCATATATATTGATAAGAAATAAAGATTGAATAACAATCGAACAAAAAAAAAATTGGATTCAGATTAAAAACTAGCAAAAACATTCACTGAACTCAACTTTGAATCCAAGAAAGAGACAAGCTTTGAAGAAAGCAACAATAATGGAAGCTCAGGTTTCTCGGAGAAGAAAAGGTGAAAGCTTTACCTTGGAAACCACCGGAGCTGGAACCAAGCAGCGCCTGGATGGTATCAGGCGAAACCCCTTCTTTCTGCAGCAAAACAGCAACTTTTGAACCACCATGAACTCTTCTCCCCAACATCTCCACCCTCTTCAACTTCACCAGATTCAGCTCCACGAACTGATTAAAAAGATCACTTTTTTCCTTCTTCAGGAGGTTTCAAGCCCAGCTAAGCTTACAAAGCCATGGTTTTTACTGCAGCTTCCCTTCTGTTCTCCTTCACATCTTATGGCGGAAGAAACTTGTGACCTTGATGACAGAAGCATGGCAGAATCCCACCTTGAAAGAAGAACCCAATCCCATCCCTTGCGGAAACAAGTTCTTCACGATAAACAGAGCAAAACGGAGTATCAGATTTGTAGGAAATAAGAGAGCGCTGTTTGCTCTGACTTCAAGAACTGAGCCTCTCTCTCTATCTCTCTGCTTCCTATTGGGGTTGGGCATGGCTACAAGGGGCTATAAGTGGAGGGGAGCATCTCTGGTCTTTTCGTGCCGCAGCTTCTGTCTTCTACTGCTGCACGCATAATGTGAAATGACGAAAAGTGCCCTGTTATGTGGATAAGTTTTGCCCCATTGGCAATCCGTGGGGAATATTTAACCTTTTCTTTTTTTCTTTTTGTGAATTTACTTTCTACCACTTTAGCTAACTTTACTTCCTAAATTTACGAAAGATGAAGCTTTTTTAAAATATATATATAATTTTGCGACATTTGCATAGATAGAAATCAAATTTATATGTATTCTAATATCTACACTTAATTTTTTTTTTTGCATTTATACCGCGCAATAGGGGTGTAAATTATATTTCGAGCTCAAAAAGTGTGTTCGTGTTCGGCTCGTTTGTATTAACAAACATAATTATGTAGTCATAAGACAATAAGGGTTTGAGTAAGATTTAGTTATTCACGAACAAAGAGTTCTATTAAAAAACATAATTATGTAGTCATAAGATAATAAGGATTTGAGTAAGATTTAAAAATTATTATTTATATTAAAACATCATTTGAATCTAATTTAATAATTTTTATTCTATTTTATTAATCAATATTTTAATTGGTTATAAATCTTTGTAGCCTAGTAGTAAATTAGATTTTTTTAAAATACTACTTTATATTTGGTTATAAATCTTTGTAGCCAAAACGAGCCGAACACGAACGAACACATCTTAGTTCGTGTTCGGCTCATTAACTTATAGGACAAAATTAACGAGCCGAACACGGCCTTCTTAACGAGTCGAACACGAGCTGTTCGCAAACAGCGAGCCGTTTTGACAGCCCTACCGCACAAACTATTTTGGGTTATGTAAAAAGTATCACCTTTTTATTTTTTATTTTAAAAGAAATGCATATTTTCAGGTATAGATAATATGTAACATATGTAAAAATTAAAGTTTAGTTGTTAGAATATGCATTCACTTTTTTGGGTGATGGAATGCATGAGTAATATTACTGATAAGATATGACAAAATTAATAACCATGCAGCAATCGTGCGTTGATATTATTGACAATGGTGAGTAATGAGGTGCGCAAACATTAGTGTGGTTGAACTTACATCGATCAATTTATTATATAATAATTTATGTTTATATTATTAATAATAAATGTGATCAGCATCTATGTTGATGTTGTCGTGAAGTAAGTATATATATTTAAAGCCACTTCAAAGGAGTAAAATCACACGGATTAGATAAATCTAAAACAAAAAATTAAGGCACAACAAAATAATTTAAAATAAAAATATATTGATATGCCTCCAACAAATTTTCATCATGCGGCATAAATTTTGAGACGTGACATGAATCTCGAGACAATCTTTTGAGCAAGAAACATTCAAACTTCAAGTAAGATTCGTCCAAAGCTCCAATTTCAGCAAACTTTTAGCGAACTGATCGACTCGATGAGACGGATCTAATGATATAAAAACTAGTTCGACCATACTCAAATCAAGCCCAAATCAAGTCATTAAACCATTACTGAAATATTTTCGGACACATTTGGAATATCAAACGTATGTCGACACTAGCAAGCATATACTCGAATCGAGTGTCTTGACAATACAAATCCAACAAGCCTAATATAACTCAATTTCGACAACGTCAAGGCACTCAGATGTCCATCAAACATTGTTTGATCTTAGGAAGCTCTCTTGACCGTCCGATTAAATTGTTTCATATTTCCGCATTAATGACACCCAGAATACTATTAATAGACCCCTACCACTCTCATGAGGGAGGAGCTAAAAATGAGAGAGTCTGAGGTCTTAAGGAGGGGCTGCAACTCAGCATCACCATTGACCGACGTTGATCACCACCGACCATCGTCGATCTCCATCGACCACAGTCGTCCGTTGTCCACCACCACTGATCGTTGTCATCCACCACCAACTAAACACTGCCAGCCAATATTATATATCGGAAAATCTAGTAACCATTTTCTGTTTGTGAGACAAGAGCACATCATTACGGTCCATGTTCCAACAACAACCTACTTGGTAACAGCTTATGCAGTTCCCGACTGCCCCCCCCCACGACCTAAGGAAGTCATTCATATTGGCCTCAAAGCCCTATGTTGTTCACAGCTCGTGCAATTCTTGACATCAGGCCCTGTGGCCTACGGACGTCATTCATATTGGCCCCAACGACTTATGTGGTTCACAACTCGTGCAACTTCTGTCTTCGACCCCCATGACCTATGAATGCTATTCATACTCGTCCCAACATCCTACGTGGTTCATAACTCGTACACCGCCTAACTCCAACCTCCACGACCTACGCACGTCATTTATACTCACCCCAACAACCTACATGGTTCAAAGCTCGTACAACTCCCGCTCTGCCCCCCGCGACCTTTGGACGTCATTCATACTCACCTCTATGACCTACATGATTCGCAACTCATGTAGTTCATGGCTTTGATCCCCACAGTCTATGGAAGTCACCACTACTCACCACTAAGATCTACGCAACCAACTACGACTTATGTGATTTGCAGCTCCTGCAACTGCTTGTTACGAATTCTCTAGCCAATCAATGCTTCTGAAGCAACCATCTACAACACTCACAATGAACTACTATCTCAATAACTTTATAATTTTATCTTTCCAAATTTAGGAGAAGAATGAACTTGTGTAATTATAATTCATAGTAGATTATTTCAACTAGACTAGATCCCGTGGTTATTCCCCTTTTCAAGGGTTTTCCACGTAAAAAGTCAAGGTGTCTCATTTTGTTTCTTTTTTTCATGCGTGATGCGTTATCGTGCAACGCTAATACGATAATCAATTACTCAACCGCCACAAATCTTCTAGCACGCATCACACTCCAATATTTTAATGTGAAAAAATTCGAGAATGAGAAAAAACCATGGAGCCGCGCCACTAATAAGGGTTTGTTTTGAGCAATTGTAGCTTAATAATATGCTGATGCGCAACAGCTGCCACAGAAGCTGCAGCTATGAAACTATTGCGGATAAGTTGAATGTCTATTTATTTTTTACAGTTTGAAAACAGCTGTAATGCATCTGTTTTTGGCAAATGATCAATTTTTTCTTGTATAATAATGTTGATTTGCAACAAAAATGTTAATATCAAAACATTTTATACTTTAAAATAAAAAATCCAGTGCACACCATTGCAAACTAAAAAATAGATATTTCATTTAACATTGAGTATCATGATTACTAAATCAAGAAAAATACTATTAAAATAATAATTAATAATATGATAATATTATTTTTTAAATGCATTCAACGTGTCACAAGCTAAGCCATCCTCCATGATACTCTTCATGCCAGATCATACTCGGCGGTAAAATCTTCTAATCTATCTATCAACCAAAAATAATCATCGTTTTCCATGATTCTTTGTGGGCACATGTAAAAATTATCTCCCGTAGCTATGTGACTGACGTGAATTTAGCATGGAACTTTGAAGTCCACATTAGCAGTGCAATTATTGGGAGATACCAGAAATCTTCGAGTTCATCTTTCCTAAATGCTTCCATTAAACATAAAACAAGTACATATTAATAACAAAAATAATTAATTATTATTTTATGCAACTGCGAGGTCTCAAAGAACTCAGTATAGTAACCAACAAATTTGTCATTGTAATAAGACAATATATTTTATAACAAATATGTTTTTGGTTGTTTTTAACCCACATAATACCAAGTTTGTGTATATCACATATGTATATTACCAAAAAAGACCATAAAAAAAAACTTAAGAAACCGTAGCACAAAAAAAATGAGAATAACTTGGTTACCTTCATTAGGATTTTACATGTGACACCAAACAATAACGAAAAATAGGTCATCCAGAAGAACTTATAAGGCCAAACATCTCACCATATACCTTTAAAACCCATCAAAATAAAAAAAGAAGTTGAAGGAATAAAAACACTTACAAATTGCATAAAAGCTAATACAATCAATATCAAACATACAAGAAATGTAAAAACATTGAAACAATAAACAATAATTTTCTTCAACACTCATTACAATTAATAATATGTAAAAATTCTAATCACTCTCAAACTACACAACCATAATTCGTTCCCTCAACTATTTCATATTGTTTGCACATTTTCCCCCTTTAATACATGTCTCAGGAACATCATTTTCGGCATTTAACAAAGACTATCGAAGACGGTATTCATATGCCTCGGTAGAAATATTTTCATAATCCTCATCCATCTTATGAAATTTGATGTCATCGTGAGAATGATGTTGCACAATGTAATTATGAGGATTCCTCGTGAAATCACAATCCGCACCTGTTTTGAAAATGGATAAGACGACATATCCTGAAGTATGACTCATTTTCTCTTTCAAACATCAAAAGTCTCATCAATAACAACGCATAAGAATGAATGTTTTTTGTTGAACGTTTTATTCTTGCCCGTGTGATATTGCTGACTCGATTAAAGTCAGGTAAGTAATATATCATGTCAGGATATAGCTTAAGACATCTTCGCTGCAATAGATACCCAACATCGACAAAATATATTATCTTGTGTGAATTGAAAGATTAGTGTTGAAGGAAAAAAATAAGTATGAGAGTAGTTTGATCTCAAGCGAACCTGTTGGTGAATTTGAGAAGTTGTATTTGTTATTTTATGTTGTTGATTTAAAATTCGACTGTCATGTGCACTGTTTTCTCAACTGGTCATGAAAAAATTTAAGCATATGTTGAAGTCACATACTGTCATGACATTCTGTGTCAGAGACCCACATCGACCGATGAATACGATTTTCTCATTATTTGGAACATATGCATCATCATGTGTTTCATCGATTGCTCCAATATAATTCTAAAAGACAACAAAAGCCTACATAATTACAAAATTTATATGAAAATTGAATGTTATAAATATAAGAAATTGCTTTAAAGTATGACATATAACATATATCGTGTGAAATTTATGTAGGGGTCTGTTTAAACGTAGAATATGTTGGTTTTATGACTTGCAAAGAAAAACTGACAAGAGTATTCAACCTTACTAAGAAGTATCTACAAATCATTTTGTGTTCACATCGCTTTATAGCTCATCGCATCAATTCATTATGCAATAATATGTAGAGGGTTATTGCTAACATCTCTCGCGAAGTTGTATGGATGAACTACAAATTTCATAATTTCAGTCTAGTTTCTCTAACATATTCATGCGAAATATGTTGTTCAATCTCGTTGGGGATCTGCAAGCAACAACTGACTGACTAAATAACTGAAGTACGGTCAGCAGTCGTTCCAACAAAGACCTTATACTCCATTTTTCTCTTCTCTTCTCTTCTCATTCACTCGATCCCTAAACTCTTGGAGCATGTTCACAAAAAAACAATTTGGTATCCAACAATATTTGATATCTGCTTTATTTGATTTGTGTATCTTGTGAGACATTTTTTTTAATGTTGATATGTATTTTGTTTTTGTTTTTTTTTTCTCGAGACATATTTTGGATGTTTGATATATATATTTATTCTTTTATTGCTCCTTGAGATTTTTTTTGAGTATAATACTTGATTACCGATATACATGCAATAGCCGTATATATATATATATATTGATTTATTGTTGTTTTAATTTACGAGCAATTTTATTCACATTAAATGATGTCTACTGTAATTAATTAATTATCATGCATTTATGCAATTGGATATTAAGTAATATTTTTTATTGTTTTAATTACACATTTTTTTTATTTGATGTTAATATTTTTTATGTTTACTCCTTTTTAGATAAACAATTGAATAAATTAGCATAGATGAATAGATTAAGGAATCAAGATTGCTATCCGTTAAGAAAATGTTAGTCATTTAAATGAAATTGTTTAATTTTACATATAATTTTTATTTATGATATATTTTTTATACTACATGTACTATGACATTATTATTTCGCGTAATTTATATTTAATATTATTGTAGATTTATTATGTCACATAGTTCAACATTTGGTTCAAGCCTGGTTGAACCTATGGATCAAACCCGGTTCAATCGTTGAACCTTAAACCTCATTCTCTAACTGTTCAACGTTCGACCTAGTTTTCAAAGCCTTGGATTTAGAGACATTGTGTTGCTTTCAATTATTAAATGCAATTACATTTTTACTATGTCAACAAAGAAGTGAAGCCGTCGAAATTGGAGTGGGGTTCGCCATAGAAGAGGTGAGGGTTTGCTATGAGAAGATGGTTTGTAAGGAGGATATGGCTTGCCATTGGGCTGCCATAAGTAGGAGATGCAGGATTAAGAAGAGCGAGGTTGAATGTAGAAGCAAACCCTATGGTAAGGTCTACTTACGATAGACAAGGGTTTGTCGTTGGGAGCCATGATTGACGTAGGAAATAATCAAAATGCTCGACGATAAGGTGACAATGACGAAACGATTAGGTGACATCAGCCTACCAATTAGGTAACAATGACGAAATAATTAAGAGACAATGGTAAGTATATTAGTTAATTTTGCCCCAACGAAATCGCATGAAGCGAACATGTCTACTTGCGATAGACAAGGGTTTGTCGTTGGGAGCCATGATTGACGTAGGAAATAATCAAGTTGCTCGACGATAAAGTGACAATGACGAAACGATTAGGTGACATCAGCCTACCAATTAGGTAACAATGACGAAATAATTAAGAGACAATGGTAAGTATATTAGTTAATTTTGCCCCAACGAAATCGCATGACGCGAACATGTCGCTGCAACCACATTTCGATCGAACATGTTTGCAGAATCACAGGCAAAACATATGAAACAAATGAGCAAATATTACGCGTGACAACCAAACGCTCAGACGATGGTCTGAATAGGCCACCATGCAATCCATGATGACGTGATACCATCCGAAACATTATTTAAACTTAGCGTTCGATTTACGTGCGACAACCAAACGCTTAAATCCATGATGACGTGATGTCAATAATATTTTATTGAAAGAAATCAAGAGCTTCACGTCTTCTTCACCAAATGACACCTTAAAGTTATAAGTAAAAATAATTTAGTTTTGAATTTACTTTTTTTATTTTAAAGATTAGATACAATACAATTAAATATGAGAATTAAAGATTTTTATAAATTATATGTGAACAAAAAATGTGGTTTCCAAACACACTTTTAATTTTTGTATTACGTAAATATTAGTTTCTCACTTTCTAAGGGCAGCTTCAACGAACCAACATCACACTAAACCCTAGATCCTGAGATTCCGATGGACGATTATAGGCGCTTTCGGTCGATCCCGGACGACCGCAAGTTCTGCTCAGTCTGCTCCATGCTCCACTACCCCTTCTGCCCTCCGCCTCCGGCATTCACCGGTGACAGCCTCCGCTGCCGACCCCCCGATTTCTGTCCACCTCTTTTCGACCGCCCTTTATACAACTCATCACAGTCGAGCGGAGTGGAATTATTCCGGCCGCCTTCGTACCGACCGATTTTTCTCCAAGAAGAGGCGATTGATCAGGAGAGTTTCCGGAAGAGGATGCGGGTGGAAGATCCGGAGATCAGAGTTTTCCCTTACTTCCAGCCTTTAAATCTAGGTTTGTCAGTGGATGATGAGCGGAGGTTGAATCTGATCCGCGATCATGGGAGGGAAGGTTCCACGCTGATGCACGATGAGCGTCATTGGAATAATAATAGCGATTACCGGATAGATCGGGATGATCGCGATCCGTTGCAGAAGCATTTCGGTGGTGGTGGAATTGATCATGGGTTATCGGAATCTGAAGTTTATCATCGTGATGGACGTTACCAAGCTAAGGTTTACGAAGGATATCCGAATCAGCCAATATGTAATTCGAATAGGGAAGATAGGAGAGATTTTAATCGGATGGAGTTTGGGCCTGATAGAAGAGTGTCCTTTGATGCACAAATTGGGGGCGGCTTCTCGTACGGGCTAAATGCTCATCTAGACAGAAATTCGCAGATATCTCGGTTTCGAGGACCTAACGAAATTTTGACTGGTTCGCAAAACTTTGGATCTGTTGTGCCAGGGGAGTCTTGTCTAAAGGATTCATGGAGGCCTTCCAAAGATTATGAAACTTCAGGAGTTGGAAACTTCCATGATCAGCAGCAGACTCCTTATTCTACGAATAATGGTCACAACGCTTTACGAGTTGGAAACTTCCATGATCGGCAGCAGGCTCATCCTATGATGAGTAGCTATCCCCTTTTGCCAAAGCAACCTTCACATCTTCATAATGATGATTATCTAACTGCTCCTTATCACCAAGACCATGCTACTCAAAGTTACATGGAAAGCAAATCTGAGTTTTATAAACAGCAGGGGGAAATTATGGGAAATTGCTTAGACCACCGGCGTCCAATTTCAGTTCAATTTCAAATACCTTCGGATCCACAGACTTATCCTGCTGTGGAGCAACTGGGTGCTCACGCTAATAAACATGCAGGCTATACACCTACAGTGGTCGAAGTTAACCATGCAATGCGCACGTCCATGCCAGAGCATGGTCATACTTCTCAAGCATATCCTCCTCTTCCACTACAGCCTCCTTTTCCCGATGCTAACCATGTGATAGGCACATCCATGCCAGATAATGGGCATACTTCTCAAGCCTATCCTCCTGTTCCACTACAACCTCTTTTCCCTATACAGACCGAGTCATCTATATCAAGTCTCCAACCGTCATCCTCTTCATTAGCAACGATTTCCATTGTAGGTCCTGTTCAAGCGAATACAACCTCTTTTCCCTATACAGACCGAGTCATCTCTATCAAGTCTCCAACCGTCATCCTCTTCATCAGCAACGATTTCCATTGTAGGTCCTGTTCAAGCGAACTCTTCAGCTAAGAGGCTGCTGTCAGTTTATGGCTCTCAAACTTTGTCACAGGGAGAGTTTTATAGCGATCCTCCTGTGCAGGCATCCAATGGGTTAGCTAGTGAGGTATCGTTAACTGCTGCTTTCATTAGTATAGTTAGCTTGTTTTGCTCCTTCAGTTTTGAAAATACTTGCAGATAATGTTAGATTGATTTTGATACACTGTTAGAACCAACAGTTATCACACAAACAATCTCCAACTCACTGAAGAGTGGATTTTCATATGTTGCAATTAACTACAAAATTCGTTGGCAGTTAACTAAAGGAAGATTTACATACATACCACTCAATTCTAATGTATTTACATATCAAAACATCAATTTTTACATATATGGTACCTGACCTATGCATAAAAAGGCGTATTTCTCTTTTTAAAAGATAAAATAATGGCATTTTTGATGTGATAACTAAAGATTTGGGTTGTATAAATAAAAAAATCAATGTTTAGGTGTTAGAGATGTAAAAACATAAGAATTTGATGGTTTGTATGTAAATTCTGCTTTAACTAAATTATTGTCAACATTTCCATTTTAGTTTCCAACAAAAACATTTTGTATCATACTTGGCAAAATTAAGGGCTGTAACTAGCATTGCATATTTGAAGGGTTTTTTTTTTTTCTTGATGAAAATTGTTATTAGGATGCCGCGGTTTAAAAGAGTAGATGCTCTAGAAGTCAATCATTTGGATGCCTTTGAAGGCATCTGTTTCATCATAATATTAAGGTCTGTTTGGGACAGCTGCAGCTCAGCTGCCGCCTTGAGAAGCTGCTATGCAGAAGATGCTGTGGATAAACTGGCTGGTTGTTTGTTTATTGCTATTTGAAAATAACTACAACATTATAAATGACCATTCTGCCCCTGTTTAGTAATGTTATTTACAACAAAACTGTCATCGTAATATATTTGATACTTTATAAGCAAAATTCACCTTAGAACAATGCAAAAAGTAAGATATACACCACAATTAACAAAGAACACTATCATTACTAAAATAAAAAAAAGACTATTAAAATAATATTTAATAATATAATAATATTATTTTTAAAATGGAGAAGACGTATGCCAAGAGTCAGACCGTTCTCTAGGGATACTATCTATTCCCGATCACTCCTGGCGGTGGAATCGACCGACCTATCTGCCCAGTGGAAGAAGTCACAATTCTCTGCGAGTCTCCGCAGACACCTTTTGAACTGTCTCACATCGACCGACCTATCTACCCAGTGGAAGAAGTCAAAATTCTCTACGAGTCTCCGCAGACACCTTTTGAACTGTCTCACATATCTATGTGACCGACTTGACATCAACAGGGAATCCCCTGAAGTCCACAATGACACAACAATCCTCGGGAGGTACTAGAAATCTTCGAGCTCATCTTTGCTGAATGCTTTAAAAGACAATCAATTAGTTATAACACAAGTAGAAATGTTTTTTAGAAATAATTAATTAAGTAAGCGTGAGGTCTCAGAGAACTCAATATACCAACTAACGAACCTGTTAATATAAGAAGACAAAAAACCTTATAAAAAAAGTTATTGGTTGCCTTTAACCCACGTAATACCAAATTCGCGTGTCATATATGCATATCACCAAAAAAATGTCATCTAGAAGAACCAGAAAAATTGTAGCATCGAAAATAAGAGGGAAACTTGGTCTCCTTCTGTAAGATTTCATATGTGACACCAATCAATATCGACAATCAGACCATCCAGAAGAACTTAGAAGGTGTAACACCTCATCATGAGCCTCTCAAACTCACAATAAAAAGAAATGAAACAAGAAAAAAATATTTACAAACATCGTAGAAAACTCAATTATAATCAAATGTACAAGAAACAAAAATAAACATGAACTGTATAAAATAAATAAGTTAAAATTGATAAAAGAGCTATATAATTTCAGTTTTGTGTATATGCGAAGTCTTAAAGAACTCATTATACCAACCAACAAATTTGTCACTACAAGAAGACAAGAGACTTTGTAAAAAAAAGGGTTTTTGATTGCTTTTAACCCACGTAATACCAAGCTCGTGTGTGTCACATATATATATCACCAAAAAAGGTTATCTAGATGAACCTGAAAAGCTGCTGCATCGAAAAGAAGAGAGGAACTTAGTTATCTTCAATATGATTTCACACGTGACTCCAATTAATGCCAACGATCAAGCCATCTAGAAGAACCCGTAAGGTCTAACTTCTCATCATAGGCATCTCAAACTCATCAAAAGAAAAATAAAAGAAAGAAAAAAATAATATTTACAAACATCTTAAAAAACCCAACAATTAATGTTATATATGCAAGGAACGAAATTAATCATGAACTGTATAAAATAAATAAGAATCAGTCAATTTAGCATCCAACAATGATGTATGTGATCCGCTTTCTCAATTCAACAATTTCCCCAGCACCTTCGCCATTCTGGGTGCAACCTTCTTGTGATTCTCCTTATGCCCGTGGTATAGATTGTTCTTTTTGATATTTAAATACTTCAGACGAGACATGTAAATTATCATTGTCAGTCATGTTGAAGCCTACGTCAGTTCTCGAATGATGTCGTTAAATATAGTTATGAAGAGATATTTTGGCCACTTTAATCTGCATCTGTTTCGAAAATAGATATGTCATCATATAGTATGACCCATTTTTTTTCCACACTCAAAATGTTCTTTTAATTACACCGTGTAAGAACGAGTATTTTTTGTTAAATATTTCTTTCCTGCCCCGAGCAACATTGCTGGATCTTTTAAAGTCGGAAATGTAATATTTGATATCCAAAAATAATTTCAGATACCTCTTTTGTAAGAAACATCCAGCGTCGACCAGGTAATATTTGTATGTCGCAAATACAATAATTAATAATGAACTTACAAAATATATAATAATATGATTAATAGTTGAACAAATCTGGAGGTGGGTGAGGGAAGTTGTGCTTTCAATTTCTTGTGACGAAAGCGAATATACTTCTGTCTCGTGCATTGTCTTCCCAATCGGCCATAATAAAAATAAATCACATGTTAACATTACATGCCACCATCACATTTTGTGTTGGTGATTCACACCGCCCAATGAATGTGTCCCCTTCATTCTTGGATAAATGTGCATCCACGTTTGTTCTATCGATCACTCCAATACAATTCTGACAAATTAAACAAGATTGTGTAAATTACACGACTCATTTTGACTTCTGAAAATAATGAGTAAAAATATTTACCAAAAAAATGACATATACTGCGGGTCGGGTCATTTGCAATATTTATTGGAGTCATCTCAAATGTTGGATCCTACGACTTATAATATTTACCGACAAAATAACAAGAGACATCAACCCTACTGAAAAGTATTTGATGATTCTTTGATGAATGTTGAAATCACTCCATCGCTTCTGTCATCGATTCATTCTATGATAAAATGTAGAGGGTTGTTGCTAATATCTCTCTGGTTGTCATTCTAGAGGAGCCATGAAGTGAATATGTTCACACAGTTCAGGAAGATAAAATAATGAAAAGAAAGTTGTGTGAATATGTTCTTACCCTTCCAATTTCTCACCCCACTATTCATTCGAAGCGTCAATGGTGCATTTGATTGGATCACATCCCCAACATGTGGATCCTCATTTTAATTTCTTTCATAATTTTTAGTTCCTTGTCAACTGATCTCACTTGTTTTTCAGTTGCATCTTATTGTACTTCATTCCCGTCATTTCTTTGAACTTATTCATAAAATTTGTCACTTTTTCTTATTAAAATAGGTGACAGGTCTATTTCTCAGTTCAACTTCCTTAAGATAGATATGAAATATGAGTTTAACTTCTTTATCCCACATACCTGATGAACTGATTTCTTTAGCCTTAATCATCACGTTACTAGCCCAGAAAAAATGAAACATAAATATTGCATTACTAGCTTAGAAGAATACTTGCCACATCTCCACACACAACCATAGCCAACACAAAACCAACACAATCACACAACCACAAATCACAACCCCAAACACAATCACAACCCCAAACACAATCACAACCTCCACACTACGGCATCCATACACAACTATAGCCACCACACAACCACACCTACCTCCACACAAAACCACAGTCTTCACACACAACCACAACCACCATAACCTCCTCCACGCAGAACCACAACGTCCACACACAACCACAACTTCCACAACCACCACACACAATCACACAACTACAACCACGACCACCACACTTAT